ATCGTCACGGGTCAAAGGCCATGTCTTCGCGTTTGTTGACTTACATGCAAAATTTTATTGATGTACTATTTTATAAATTTATGTCAATAATTTTGGTATGAAATTATAAATTATAATTCAAATTTTAGTATTATACATTAGTTAATTTCTTAATTTAAAAGTAAATGTTATAATAACACACCTAAATATCGATTTTTGTGTGTCACCTGGTATGTTGAATGCAGCATTGGTTCAAATTAAATGTTTGTGATGTCCAAATACAAATTATATAGTTTTTTACGAATTAGAACTCAAATTATCGATATTAAAAAGTTAGAATATAAAACAAGAACCTCCTATCTTTTCTATTTGCTTTTTTATACCTATTACCCCACTGCTCCTTCTGAGTGTGTACTTAGTTCCTAAAACCCATTTCCTTTCCTGCTTGTAAGGCTGAGTTAGGCATTTTAAGGCTTGTAAAGTTGAAATGTTTCTTGTATCCGATCCTTTTAGTGTGAGCATGAAAAAAGTAATAAAATACTATTGTTTAAAAACGCTTTTGCTAATTTGTTCGTTGTTACGCACAAAACTAAACGATAGGCTATCTTTGTTGTGACCCCACGTTGTACCAAAACACGATTTTTAGCGTTATAAGCCCTCTGGCTTGTCACTGAGTCAATAGGGGTTTTAAAATGTTAAACAAAGAATTATTAGTGCTCTTTCATTCCCCACCCATTGTCAACGTGCACGCAACATGCTACTGTGAGTCATTGTTATGACGTTTTATACCCTGGTATTTTTACTTTAACTCCACTTGAATCGAGCATATAAAGCACAAACCGCGAGCGCTGTCCTTTGTCACATTTTTCGGGTTTCCTGTTGTTATGATGACAGAAGCCAAGTCTGCAACAACGGTTCAGTGTTACTTTCCTTTTTCCTGATGGATATGATTTACCTGTATCGATATCTTCCATTCCTCTTTTCCAAGTGCATTTTTTATGCTGGTTCTGCTCCGACTTCTTGAAACAAGCTTCCTCAGTTGTTGCAATGCCTGACTATCCGATGCTTATTATTTTCCTTACAAAAAGCTGGTGAGTTTTTTTTTTTGTGGTGATTAGTTAGTTTGACCTCCATGCTTAAGGAACATACGACAAAGATATATGTATGTTGCTCCGATAGATTTTCATCATTGTTTCATAGTATTGATCTTTCCCTCCCACATGTTCTATAATTTATTGAAGGCTGCGCTAGATTTTCGTATTATAACCTTTAGATTGGATATGATACCACAACTGGCACCGATAATAATGATCAGGTATGTGCATTATGGATGAATAGTCCAATCTTGCTTGCACAGATCGGTAGGTCATCGGTGCATGTCGGATATATGACAGTACAACAGGCAGATATAATCAGTAAAGTCCAGGTCTACCGGATGTTTTTTTTCTATTTTGCCACTTAGTAACTGTAGCTATAGGGCTCTATCTCATTACGGGGTCTACTGTGCTGCCAAACAGGACAGGTGAAAAAATACACTTCTGTCTACCACCAGTTCACAATGGACATCGCAACATCAGTTCACAATGGATATCGTTAGTGGATTGTTATTTTTCGCTGGCAAAAGTGTTGTAAACGGATTTTTAGAAGATCGTGATAATGCTTTGCTACAAAATTATGAAGACGCTAACATATATTTCGAAGGGAATTTTTCAATAAACCTCTCCAGATCACGTGATTTGCATTAGTATCCGACATTTTGGACATCAAGCCGTCCATTGTTTTTGTGATAATTATAGCGATAAAGTTGAGGCAATACGCTCTGAATCTTAAAACCTATGTCAAATTTACTTACGAAAATAAGTTGACAGAACTTGTAATTCTATTGTTTCTGATCCATATATTACTCCACAGGTCGGAGTAATGTCGGAGACTCGTCTAATCATGATGCGAAGTCAAAATATGATTAGCGTCTAGATATTGCGACATATTTGTGTATCTCGTTGATTCTATCAGTAGCTTAACACATGAAAGTATGAAATGCTATTTAGACTAAATAGTTATGAATTATTCTTAGCAGGATGGGTGTCAGACGTGCAGGTAAAATAGATTATAACTTGTGTCTATTACAGCTAAGGTAAGTTTTGTTTTTATAGCTTCTACTTTATCTCACATAGTCTCTACTATGAACATAAAACTTGTTGTCACCAGTATCGAGTATTACTAGTGTTTAATCAATGTGATGTTAGTTGTATACCTTTCGGTCTATAACACAGTGACGTCTGACTGACCCTGGCCTAATCTAACGACAGTACCTATATCATCGTAATGACATACCTTATTCGTTAGTGCCCGTAGAAAGGATATGGGTCACTTAACAAATATGAATAGTTTCAATAATTAATAGATAATATGATACTTGTACAAATATTTGCAAG